AAGTTAAAATCTTGTTGTTTTTGTATGGCTAAAAAAGCTAGACTTACAGATACTACAAGAGCAAAAGTTTTTATTTACTTATTTAGCAAATATTTATGGCTAACTGTTTTGAAAACATAAATATTTATTAAAATTATTAATAACTACAACTAACAACACTAACCGAAAATTATATATTTTACGGTTGCTTGTTATAAAATAAAAAAACCTAAAGTTTTTCCAAGAAAATTACAATAACAAAAATACTTTAAGCCTAGACTAGACATAATAAAAGTTTTTGCTGAAAAAAAAAACTAAAAAAACAAACCTTGTTCAATTTATACACACAGAAAACAGATCGATGGGAAATCGGTTACCATGATAAATATTTAGTTAAACTAATTAAAATTGTATCGCTGTTATTGAAAAACTGTATACTTAACTGATTTTCTATATTCAGTATTAAAAAACAATAATACTAATGGAATTGTGGTTTTAACAATTTCTAAATCAATAATTTGAACTGAATTGTATCGGTTATTAAATTCATTTGGCAATTCAGTAAATGCAGCCGACTTTTATTTAGGATTAAAACGTAAGAACATCAAATATTAGTCGCTACAACCGAAAAACAGTATAAAGTAAAAAATATTGAGCACTGCAACCAATTATCAATTGAAATAATTATTTAAAATTTAATTACGGTTAAAGGAACCAAATTCGATGTTCACAACCGATTAATTGGTAATTATAGTTGACGTATACAAAAATAAATAAAATAAAACGAATTTATAATATAAAAAAAACCTAATTACATTTGAGGATAAATTGATGCAGAAATTTGGATAAAAAAGGTAATGTTTGGTGTATTTTATATCTTATAATCTATTTTGTGTTATTTTTCTATAATTTTTAATAATTTTACAGCAGCGGAAAGGCGTGGAAAGATAGTGTTCCTTTGAAAATGTTGAGCAGAATCAAGAGCAAAATCCCTGTTTATTACCATGAAAATCTCAAAGCAAAAGGGGAGAAGTTATTTTATATTTATACGTTTTGTAAGTTTATACATATTTATATTTTATTGTAAATACTTTACACAAAATAAATATATTTTCAAATACACATAATCCACAAATTGTTTTTCTATAAATAATATTTCAGTTGCTAATACCAATAATTTCAATCCAGATTACCGAATAATAATTAAAAATTTTTGTGTACACCATATATTCAGTAATACTAACCGAATTATACAATAATTACAATCGAATTTTGGGATAGTTGTTAGAACCGACTGAATTCGATTGGAAACAAATTCGGTTATCACAACGAATCTGTTTTCTCTGTGTATATTTATTAATATAAATTCGCATGATTTTCAACAATTAACACATACTAAAAGCCACAGCTTAAAGCCATAAACATTTTTTTTCCAAAAAAAAAAAAAAAATATATTAGTTTTGTAGAAGAAGAAAAAAATTGGCCAAAAAAACGCATTTTAAAATCATTTTTAAATCACATTTTAAATTTTAAATTTATTAACAGATGCTTAAAAACGACAACAAGACGGTCAAATGGACAAATGAAAAAATTATTTAACACTTAATCTGCCACAAGTATCACGGTTAAGATGACAACCCAGCAAAGAAAATTAACTTCCAAAGAAGCGAAAAAGATGTTGTTACACTAACACTACGTTCACACATTCTGCTGTCGAAACAAATAGTAGTCGGTTGGTTGTCTGACTAGAAGGCGAATGCAGCAAAACTTCTTAAAGGTTGCTTTCCAGAGAGAATCCTGAATCGCAATGATTTTTTAAGCTCTTGTTAAGTTTATTTTACAATGGTGAAATGTTTGTAACCTTTTCACCAGTCACAGCACTAGTACACTTTAATTACTTGCCTAATATTTCTTTCGTTTCAATCATATTCATCACAACTTTTGCTGGGTTATTGGAAGATTTTTAGATTTTGAAATTGTTCAAACATGTTTTAGCATGTGCTGCGGCCGGCAACTTGTTATAAATGTTAACTTAGTTTTGTTGTAAAAAAATATATAATTTAATTTTATTTGTAATCATAAACTTTATGTTTAATTCAAGCAAATATTGTTAATATTATTTACAAACAAGTTGTTTTGTTAATTGTGAGATTACATAAATTCATTTTACAATGTAAAAAAATTAAAAAATTTTGCAACTTTTAAATTGTTAACGAATTTTTTGAAAATTTGTTGGCTCAAAGAACTTGTCAAGGTACTAGTATCACTTCCCTTCCCTCTAGGAATTTTCACCTAATAAATACTATATCGAATAGCTCTTTCACTTTGCTTTTCTTAAAGCTGCGTGTTAATTATTTATTTACTTTTAAATTTTCCAATTACTTCCTGATTGTTTTGATTAAAATAATTAATAATTTATTCGTAAAATTAATTAAATTAACAGTAAGTAAGTAATTGTAAATGTGCGTTAAGGAAGACGCTTTTTCTATATTAAAATGTAACTTTAGTAAGACACTTTTATTGTAGTAAAATGTAACTTTAGGAAGACACTTTTACTATATTAAAATGTGTCTTAAGGAAGACTCTTATTACTATAGTAAAATGTGTCTTTAAGAAGACGCTTTTACTATAGCAAAATGTAACTTTAGGAAGACAGTTTTACAGTAGTAGAATGTAACTTTAGGAAGACACTTATACTGTAGTAAAATGTAACTTTAGGAAGACACTTATTATTATAGTAAAATGTGTCTTAAGGAAGACTCTTATTACCATAGTAAAATCTGACTTTAAGAAGACACTTTTACTATAGCAAAATGTAACTTTAGGAAGATAGTTTTATAGTAGTAGAGTGTAACTTTAGGAAGACACTTTTACTGTAGTAGAATCTAACTTTAGGAAGACACTTTACTATAATAAAATGTGTCATTAGAAAGACACTTTTACTATAGAAAAATGTAAGTTTAGGAAGATACTTTTGATATAGTAAAATGTATCTTTAGGAAGACACTTTTACTATAGTAAAATGTAAAATTTAAGAAGATACTTTTACTATAGTAAAATGTATCTTTTGGAAGACACTTTTACTATAGTAAAATGTGTATTTAGTAAGATGCTTTTAGTATAGAGAAATGTGTCTTTAAGAATACGCTTTTACCATAGTAAAATGTAACTTTAGGAAGACACTTTTACTATAGTAAAATGTAACTTTAGGAAGACACTTTTACTATATAAAATGTTTTTACTGTAGTAAAATGTGTCTTTAGGAAGACATTTTTTCTATAGTAAAATGTGTCTTTAGGAAGACACTATTACTATAGTAAAATGTGTCTTTAGGAAGAAACTTTTACTTTTGTAAAATGTGTCTTTAGGAAGACACTTTTACTATAGTAAAATGTGTCTTTAGGAAGACACTTTCACTATAGTAAATTTGTCTTTAGGAAGACACTTTTACTTTAGTAAAATGAGTCTTTAGGAAGACACTTTTACTATAGTAATATGTGTCTTAAGGAAGACACTTTTTACTATAGTTAAATGTAATTTAAGGAAGATACTGTTACTATAGTAAAATGTAACATTAGGAAGACATTTTTACTCTAGTAAAATGTGTCTTTAGGAAGACACTTTTTACTCTAGTAAAATGAGTCTTTAGGAAGAAACTTTTACTATAGTAAAATAGCTTTATGAAGTCTCACAGGAAGACACTCTAGTAAGAACGTTTTTACCATCGTAAATGTATCTTTTCAGAAGACACGTTTAAAGTCTATTGCCTTTCTAAAGTATTCTACTGCTCAACTTGTTCAAAACTTAACACACAACCCTCGAATTTGTTTAATAATTTTGCCGTTTTGCTACTGTTTGGCTTTAACTATAACAAAAATTTTACCTTCTGTCTAATTAGATTTACATTTCATATTTGTAAAAGTAAAAAACCATTAATAAATTTCAACTATAAAGATCTTTATTCAAACTCTTTCTTTTACTTTCAATTATATTAAAAAAGACTCGTGTAAGCCCCTAGAGCATAAAATTACTTAAATCTTTACATTCTAGTCCAAAACTACTTACTTTATATTAAACTTATGTAGGATCATTATAATCAACTACTTTACTACCTGATCGCAATGTCTGTTCTTCAATTGGACCAGGAAATGATAGCTAATTAAATCAATGATTTCTTTTTCTGTTTTAGTTTTATTGTTTCATTTTTTCTTCATTCATTCATTTATTACAATTCTTCTCCTTCTTGTCAATTTCTTTGGTTAACAGGTTCTTTTTGAATTATTCTTTAGTGGATTCATTCATAAATTTCTGTAAGATCGTTTTACTTTTGATTTGATATCATCAAGATCATCATCATTCGGCTTGTGTCTTTTTTTTATTTTAACTTAAATTGTTCATAATTATAGTTTTCAAATCTTTTTGATTATTTTTTTTTTTGGTATTTCTTGAGGTTTTGTTATTCTCTCTTTTGTTTTTAGCCGTTGGTTGTTATAAATAGTCGGGTTAATTTCATTTAAACTACCAGTTTTACACATTCCTAATTACATTTTAAATATTGTTTTTTTTTTGGAGAGTTTGTTACTGAGATTTTACATTTTTAGTTTATTTTTTAATATTATTGTAAGTTTAATGAGTTTTTAATTTTCAACGTAAATTTTTGTTATTTTTTTAAATAGAAACAGGAAGTTGGAGGCGCCTTTTGGGAGGCTGTATTATAGATGTCTACTTATATTCATAACTTTAGTTTACAATTAAAAAGTGTCTTTCAAAGTCACTTTATATTGGTAAAAATTTATACCCAAATTTTCTATACTGTAGTGTCTGGGGAAGTATTGTTTTGGAATGATCTTTTATAACTTTCTGCAACTTTTTGAACTTTTTCAATTGGTTGACCAAAGTTTTAGATTAAGATTACTTGAATTTTCTCCCTAATTAAAATTAGGCGACATTCGAAACTTTTATTTTTTTTTTTTTGATATATTTTTAATAATTCGCTGCGATTTCTTTTGTTTTATTTACAGGCTTTAAATGGTTTTCTAATGATACTCACCTGTGATGGCGAAGTATTTTTTGCTACCCACAGTATTGAAAGTTATTTGGGGTTTCATCAGGTAAGTTTTAAAACAATTAAAACCCTTTTCCTTAATATCTTAATAAAAAACGAACAATCAATTGTCTTCAAACCCTAAGTCATAAAAATTCAATACAAATAGATATTTTCCACCAAATTGCTAAAAAAGAACTATAAATTAACGCCAATCTATTATCGTCACAAACGGTCTACACCATCAAAAAACTAGTCATGGCATCGTACATTGCTTTCCAACTCTTTTCAGATGCATCTAACTATTTTCAGTTTGATGAAACAACAACTGAGGAAAAATATCCCAAAAGAAACTCTGACCTCAAAGACTAGTTCTAATCATTAATTTAGAACTAAAGTTCATTAACTTTTAGGCGCAAAAGATTCCGATATTGTGAAACCGGCAGTTAGTTAGTTTACAATTCCAGCCAGTTGTATCAAATTATATTTAGTTTGATGAGAGCAAAACAAAAGAAAAACCTGTTAAAATGAGACTTATCTTGCCTATTGACTTTGGTTGACAACTCTTATCAGTTGCATCGATTTACTGTAAGTTTGATGACACAATAAGTGATGAAAATAATTCTTAAAACTTTCGAGTTCAAACCAGTTTCAGTTGCATCAAACTATTCTCAGTTTGATGAAGAAACTCACTGGGATCATATCATACCATTAAAGAACTAGTCATGACATTAATTTTGAACCCATTTCATGCCCTCTTCGGTTTACAACTTCCTTCAGTTGAATCGTATTCATTTTCCATTACCGAATTTCATGTCTACTGTCTTTGGTTTTCAACTCTTAGCAGTTGCATCGAACTACTTTAAGTTTGATTATGCGGTTGCATCAAACTTTTTGAGCTATTTCCCTACTTGTTTTATACCCAAAAGGTTTTGGTCTATAACACCTTCCACTTCCATCAAACTTTAATCAGTATGATGGAACAAAGCTAAAGGGAAATCATGTAAAATTACCTAAACCAACACAGTCACAGTTGTAATTATAAGCTTGTCAAACTATTTCGTGTTGCATCAAACTAAAACTAGTTTGATCATGCAGGAATATCCGAAATTTTTTATATGAGAATCAAATAATTGATGCTGAAGAAGGTTGAATGATTAGGGTTGTTATATAAACGGGGAAAATGAAATGCTTCAATGTGGCAGCATCTAAATGTGCCTCATTTGTGTTCGAACCGAATTCTGACTTTCGACTTCTGTTTTCTTGCGATATTCTAGAACCTTAAGCTTGTTGTCTTAAGTTTTTCCGTTTAACTTTAGGGGAAAGAATCTCGCAATTTCTGAAATTTCAAATTTAAAAATTGAGACACTCATAAATTCTTCAGCTGTAGTGAAACGCTCCAAAAATTCCTTTAAATCTTGATTTTTTTTTAAATTCCCAAATGATACATATTTCCTCTTAACATTTGTTTAACTTTCTTATCAAACAATAAACATCTTCAATAAACATTTGTTTACTAAGAGATATTTTCAATAACCAGAAGTTGAAGACCAATGATACAACTCAACCTGTTTTTGAACATTTTATGAATGAAATGTGGAATGATCATTAAAGGCTTGTCATGCTGTTTGTAATTTCTATAAAAATAGCAATTGCTGATACAACATTCAACGTGAAAGTCACATCTATATAAAGGCTAAACTTTCAAGAATTTTCAAAATTCTAAATTAGTCTGAAATGAGGATCGGCAGCAAAGTTCTCGGATGCTCCTTAATCTTAAAATTGCACAACTTTCTTTGATTAAACACTAACCTAACCCTAGTGAAGGGTATAAAAGTTGCGTCATAACTGTACACTTAACATTTAACCGATCTTCATCAATGTAGTTTTGTTCTCTTGCCCAAAAGAAGATCATCTTCAATAGTTTTGTGTGTCTACATAAAGCAATAAATAATAAATCAGTAAGTGTACAGCGGGAGGATTGCGCAATCGCATTGTATTACAATTTTCCTTGTACAAGTTTTTTTTTCGCATTTCTGTGTTTTGCAAATGTACGATCATGTGTATGATTCGAACATAACATTGTTTAAGAAGCTCTTTACTTATAGTATGTGTGTATGATGAGGACTGGACTTACGGCAGCCGTGTTAATGTTTGTTTTGGTTCTGGTATCTTTATTATTTACATACAACATGTGTTTTATATTATTAACTTGTTTTTGGCTTATTTTCTTCCTCTATAAAGAATTTTTGCCGTAAATTGTGAATTATTTTAAATGGGCTGGGAAAAACAAAGTAACAAATGAACTAAGTTGTAAGAAAAAGACCCATTAGGAAAGTTGTTAGAGTGATATGCCGTTTCAAACTAATGTCTTAAACTTTAAATGATTGCAAGACAGTCCAAACATACCAAATACTGCCTCCAAATAGTGACTTCAAACTAGTTCGTTTGATATCAAACATGTTTTGTTCGCGATGTTTCTGAGAATTCCACATTTCTATCTCTGCAAGTTTGACGCTTCAAACTAATTTGACATCAAACACGTTTATGTAATCAAGTTCATAAAGTCCTTACAAGAAACAAAACCAAGTAACTGAAGTTTGAATGACCTCTTCAACAGTTTTCAAACCAATTTGTATTATGGAACTTTTGCTCGAAATAATCCCCTTAGTCTATATTCCACATCTTCTTGGAAGACTATCGTATTGTTCTTGAACATTCCAAACTTATATCTTTACAAATTTGAAGTAAACTTCAAATATTGGCTTCAAACTACATTTGTTTGATATCGAACTTAATAAGATAATCCTCCTCAAAGGTTTTTAAAATCAGGTTTAACGTAAACTTCAAATAGTGGTTTCAAACTACATTTGTTTGATATCGAACTCCTCAACTGTTTGGAAATCAAGTTGAATCCTAGAAAGTTTGAAATTCCAATCGAAACGGTCCAATTATGCCAACTGTTCTCACACCTCATCTTCTTGGAAGTTTATCTTATAGTATTCCAAACATATCACTTTACAAGTTTGAAGAAATCTTTTCATATAGTGGCTTCAAACTAGATTTGTTTGGCATCGAACATGTTCCTCAACTGCTTTTGAAATCCAGTTCAATCATAGAACATTTGAAATTCCGATCGAAACGGTAAACCAAGACCACCTATTGCAACACTGCTAGGATTGCGAAGGAATATTTATGGAGTTTCAATTTGGTATTAAAATGGGGAAATTCGTCATATTATTGTTGAGTTGCACTAAGATCCGAAAGAAAGCCTTCTAGCAATTGGAAAGAGTATGTAACTTTCTTTTTTCTAAACACTTTCCCTCCAACATTAGTCAATTTCCTTCAAACTCCTTCCTACAATTCTTAACAATTATTAATTTCTGATAATTTCTCTTTTTTTTTGCTCCGAAACAATACCAAAAACCTTAAAAAAGAATCATAAACCCTAACAATACACTTTTTCCACCAACAACTTAATTTTTAATTGAGATACTAAAGTGGGCGTAACTATTTCGTATTTATTTCTTCAACCACAAACATTTCACTTCATGGTTCTGTTGTTTTTTTTTTTCACTTGTTCTTTACAAATTTACAAGTAAATTAAACGAACTCCAACCAAGTGTCCATCACTGAGCGCCAGGTGTAGCAGGAGGGTGAACGAATGAGCGTTTTCGTTTGGCATTTGCTGTTTTTTTTTGTTCATTCTTTAAATCAATATTAAATGAAATGTTATGTTGCATTTAAACTGCAACACGTTCCAATACAATACTCGTTCGTAGTCGTTCAGCTAAATATTGTTATTATTTAAGTGCCGATGTTGAAGTTTTAAAATGTATTTTTTATTTCAATTTCTTTAACATTAAACTGGATGCGCAATTGTTCGTTGAGTTTTATTGTTTTAACAAAAAAAATATATACATCATACTACATTTGATTTTGTTTTTTTGCCATATGTAGTCATGTATGAATGGCGGGATTTTCATTGTGGAATGGTGAATGTTGCAGGGGCAGGGTAGAGGGGAAATTCTGCTTTATTCTGGGCAAGAAAATGTACGAAGTTTTAAGATAAACGTATTGAAATACCTAATTGTCATCATTCTGAATAATCATGTCAAAGGTAATGGAACTTTCGACAAATTTCGTTTTGCTGCTAACAGTTTTATTAACAATATTTTACTTTCTAGTAAAAAACATTTTCTTCTTGGTTCTAAAATAACCCTTAGAGTGTTTGGAATCTCTTTTGACTTGACTATTCCTTGGATGCTCATCATGCTGCCCTTATAGTAATTTATCTCCTTGATAGCAAAATTGCTTAAATTTTTTCATAATTTTGTTACCAATTGAAAGTTTTTCTTGTAAAAACTTTTCTCTGCAGTTTCTAAAATAATCCTTATTCGAATTAGAATCCACGTTAACTTGAGTTTCCGATAAACAAATCCAGTTAAGTTCTTTCTGTAGTAATTTATCTCCTTAAAAAGAAAATCGCTTAGATATCTTTCTAAATGTTATACCAATTTACTGCTTTCTTTATGAAAAGTTTTATCTCTGGGATTTAAAATAATCTTTAGCTAAATTAAAATTTATTTTAACTTAGGCATCCTTCGAACAATCCCTTTTAAGTGCCTTTGATTGTCATTCATCTTAGAGATTGGAAAATCGCATAGATTTCTTTTTAAATTTGATACCAATTGTATGTTTTTCTATTAAAAGGTATTGTTTTCGAGTCCTAAAATAATCCTCAGACGTATTAGATTCAACTTTTACTTGGGTATCTTTTAAAAAAATCCTTTCTTTCTAAATTTGACAGCAATTTCCGATTTTGCCTGCAAAAAGTATTTTTTTCGGGAATTAAAGTAATCCTTAACACAATAAGAATCCATTTTAACTAGAGTATCACTTGAACAATTCCAATTATGTTCTCTCGATTCTCATTTATTCCGCTTATTTGAGAGTGCATACGATTTTATCTAAATATGGGACCAATTCACTGTTTTCACTCTGAGGAGCAGTATTTCTGGGATTAGGAACTATCCTTAGACGAATTAGAATCTATTTTAACTTGAATATCCACTAAACAACTCCAATAAGGTTCTCTCTTCGGGTTGTATCTCCTCAATATGAGAAACGCTTAAATTTCTTAATGAATTTGACACCAATTTCCCGGTTTCACTTTAAAAAGTATTCTTTCAGGGAATTAAAGTAATCCTTAAAACAATAAGAATCCATTTTAACTAGAGTATCACTTGAACAATCCCAATAATGTTATCTCAATTCACATTTATCTCGCTTATTTGGCAGTTGTATGCGAGTCTATCTTAATATTGAACCAATTCACTATTTTCACTTTCACTTCCATTATTTCTGGGATTAGGAATAATCCTTAGACGAATTAGAATATATTTTAACTTGAATATCCACTGAACAACTCCAATAAGGTTCTCTCCATAAGGATTTATCTCTTCAATATGAGAATCGCTTAAATTTCTTTATGAATTTGACACCAATTTCCCGGTTTCCCTTTAAAAAGTATTAATTCTGGGAAAAAAGAATCCATTTTAACTAGAGTATCCTTTGAACAATTCCAATTATGTTCTATCGATTGCAATTTATCTGGCTCCTTAGGGAGTTACATACGTTTCACTCTAAACATAAGACCAATTCACTGTTTTCACTCTTAGAAGCAGTATTTCTGGGCTTATGAATAATCCTTAGACGAAGGAGAATCTATTTTAACTTGGATATCCACTGAACAACTCCAATAAGGTTCTCTCCAATATGAGAATCGCTTAAATGCCTTTATGAATTTGACACCAATTTCCGGTTTTGCCTGTAAAAAGTATTCATTCCCGGAATTTAAGTAATCTTTAATACAATAAGAGTCCATTTCAACCTAAGCTGCCTTTGAACAATTCCAATTATTATCTCCTTATCATTTAATAGGAGAATCCATTAGATTCTCTCTAAGTATGAGACCAGTTTAATGTTTTCTCTATTAGAAGTGTACTTTCTCGGATTTTAAGAATTTCCCAGAATAGACCAGTTAACCCAAGTTGAAAAAAAAAGAAATGCGTGGCTCGTGTGTTCAATTGTATGCGCACAATTTTCAATCGATGATGATGATGACGATGCTAGTGATGTTAGTGTTTTACTGCTTCTGCTAAATGTGTTTATTCATATGGTCGTTTGATTTTTTATTATGAGTATTTGTTCTTATGTTCTTCATACGATTGGTAGTTATTTGTGGTGATGTTGATGATGTCGACAACGACGACGACGCTGATGATGAGAATGGTGTACTAGTTACATTTCATATGTTTTGGAATATTAGTTATCGTTAAGCAAACAAATGCTGTTTTTATTTTTGTTGAGATTACTTGGCTTGTCTTGAGAAATAAAGGGGCAAGTAGGAAATTTTCGTAGCGTTTGAATCCGCGATAGATTCTAAAAGATCTTGGAGATCATAGTTAGCAGGGATGTACCAGAGTTTTAGGCTTAATTCAGATCATGATCAAATTTCAATTAATTATCGTGAATCCCTTAGGATTCGGTTCGTATCGGGTATATCTAATACTCGATGACCGAACTACACAGGATCTCCCTCCTTGTGACTATAAAATGTTTATCAATAACTGGGAAGATAGTAAAAACACTAAGTTTCTCACCTAGTACGGAGTTTGTAAACCGCTTCCCACCTAACCTCTTCGTTTAAAGCTTCTCTGCACTTGTTTCAATTAATTTCATTCCTTCAATTTGTTGTTTCGAAAACATATTACAAACCTTAATCTCACCTTTGAGTTTAGAATTTGGCAAAATACAAAAAACCCACAGAAAACCAAAAATCAAATATTTAAAATAAAAAACACCTTCTTTTGAAATTATAACTCAATCTGCACCAAAGCTACCTGCAGAGTTAAGCAGCAGCAGCAGTAAAATAAACGCCACAAAAAAATCCCCGAAAACCCCAAAAGAAGACAAAACAAAATTGAGTTTTCAATTTAGTTTTGCAGATGATTTATTTAACTACAACAAACGAGAAAGAAAAAAAAAAACGAAATAAAACAAAAGAAAAGAGTATGAGAAATCAATAAATGTATAACACAGACAAAATTGTAAACTTTCATATGAAAAAAAAAAAAAAATTGAAACAAATTGAAAACCAAGTTCTTTAACCTTTGATTACAATACCCTTTCCCTTACAGTCCGATATTGTTCACCAATCGGTATATGAACTGGTGCACTCGGAAGATCGTGAAGAACTTCAGCGACAGCTATTATGGAATTCCTTTCTACCAGCCGATATGTCGAGCATGCAATTGGCAGAGACCTTGGCTCCCGACAAGACCATCTATTTGGAACGTAGTTTTACCGTACGCTTTAGATGCTTACTAGATAATACCTCGGGTTTTTTGAGACTGGATATACGGGGACGCATTAAAATTCTACACGGCCAGAATCGTAAAACCGAAGAACCTCCTTTGGCTTTATTTGCCTATTGTACACCCTTTGGACCGCCCAGTTTGCTGGAGATTCCTCATAAGGAGAATATGTTTAAGTCTAAGCATAAATTGGATTTTTCTTTGGTGTCAATGGATCAAAGGTAAGATCTCCTCCTCCACATTGGAATATATAAAAGGGATCATTCCATTAATGTTTTAATACTTTAAAGGGGCAAACATATATTGGGTTACTCAGATGCTGAACTAGTCAATATGGGTGGCTATGATTTGGTGCACTATGATGATTTGGCCTATGTGGCCAGTGCTCATCAGGAACGTAAGTATTTTTATAAGCAGAAAAGTAAACCAATTTCTTATCAATTTTCTTGTAGTTCTTAAAACTGGTGCTTCCGGCATGATTGCCTATAGATACCAAAAGAAAGATGGTGAATGGCAGTGGCTTCAAACCAGGTATGTCTAACCAGAAATTTTGTTAAAACTTTATCTAAACCTCTATTATCCTTACAGTTCCCGTTTGGTTTATAAAAATTCCAAACCCGACTTTGTGATTTGTACTCATCGCGTGCTAATGGATGAGGAAGGTTATGATTTGTTAGGTAAACGCACCATGGATTTCAAAGTTAGTTATTTGGATACCGGTTTGGCTTCCACTTATTTCTCGGAGGCTGATCAATTAGTGGTGCCACCTAGTGGTTCTCCAAATTCGTTACCTCCTCCTGTCACACCCACTAGACCTAATAGAAGATATAAAACTCAATTAAGAGACTTTCTGTCTACTTGCCGCTCCAAACGCAAAATGCAGCAACAGACTCAACAAACGTCACCTTTGGGCCAGGTCTTATTCTTTAAACTTTTCAAAAGCTTAAACAGTTTACTTAACATTTTCCTCTTTTAGGTTACTTCACCAGCTCCTGTAGTAGAATATCTTCCAGATCCTGCTGTTGCAGTGGCTGCCGCTTATTCCAATTTAAATCCCATGTATACGACTTCACCTTATGCCACAGCTGCCGATAATATCTACATGGGCACTTCAGTACATTCTACCAATTTTTATCCGGTTACCGAAAATCTTTTCCATCAATATCGTCTTCAGGGTGTGGGTGGTTATTATGCTGATTATCATCATACCGGAGCTCCTGCCTCGGCTTATGTGGCTAATGGTTTTCTGTCATATGATGGTTATGCTATTACCTCTAAAGAGGAAAAATGGCAGGATACGGGCAAATACTACAGTGGTTATAGTAGTGGTTATGGTAGTCCCACATCTACACCACAGGTGAGCTCTAGACTTTGCTAATTCCTTTTCGGGTTTATAATTTTTGTAGAAATTTCAGCAAGTTCCTTTAAAAACGCCAAAGTCTTCACCTCATGTCATGGAAGTGGTATCCTGCTCTTCGGACGGACCTTCACCAGTAGGCGGTTCTGTGAACAGCCTTAATAACCCTGCTAATAACTCCTCTAATGGTGTGGTGGTAACACCTAAAGTGGAATTAACTCCCCAGGATCCCTATGAAAGACAAACTGTTCTAATGTGGGGTTCTCAGTCCAGTGGTGTGCCCATCAATAGTCTACATAGTTCTGTATCTACAACAAATAGACAATTATCTGCACATGCAGAACGTTCACCCCAATCCACGCCTCTCACCAATGGAGGCGGTCTTAGTTATGCCAATAGTGAAACAGAAACAACAAACAAATGGAATGGCTCCACCAATGCTAACACAACAAAAGATGCTAAAAGTGCTTCCACTCCTGATAGCTATCAAATGCATCATGATGATTCGGGTCTATACTCAGCCTCATCGCACACCACCTCTCCTCAACATAGACTAAGCAGTAGTGGCAGCAGTACGGGTGGTGTACCAGGCGGTGGAGGAGGAGGTGGTGGCGCAGGAGGAAGTGCAACACATAATACGGTGGCTGAAAGTCTTACTACAAGCTCAGCAACAGCACATCATAGCAATCATCAAGCAACTGCACCTGCAACACCAGCACCAACGCCTTCAGCAGCAACTGAGAGCAATAGCCTAATGACTGGTCAACAACATACAATGCACCAATCACAACAACAACAACAACAAACTCACACTAACAATGCTCAATTACAGAATACAGTGCATCATCATCAATTATCACCACATCATGTTGCGTCTACGGTTGCAGCTAGCACAACACATGCGCATCTCACACATCAACCCCCAGCACAGCATCAACATCATCACATTGCTGTATCGCCACATCATCATGGTCATACCACAGCAAATGCCCATCAACATCATGCGCATCATGCTGCTCATACGCCTCACACTCATCACACGCATCATCATCATCAAACACAGCATCATCATCATCCACCACCATCAGCAGCAGCCACAGCAGTAGCAACCTCCTCAACACCACATCATCCCCATCTAACACATCCGCATCATCATCATCACCACCACCATCATCCGCATGCTCATCATCATCCTCATGCGTCTACCACCTCTAATACCACCACAGCAACCACCCCCAATGGCAGTGAGGTATGGAGTCCTGCATCATATGCATCACAATATGCTTCACAATATTTCTCTTATGCTCACCATGCTCATCACCATCACCACCACCATGCTCACGCTCATGCGGCAACGGCTGCTAGCAGCAGCAACAGCACCACTACTACGGCACCTCCACACATTAGTAGCAGCACTCAGTAGTTTGTTGTTGTGTAAATTACTTTTTTTCGCAAAAGAATCTCAGACTCAAGTAACCCGAACCAAAAAAAAAAAAAGAAAAACATGTGTTTATTTTTAGGGTTGACCCTAAAATGCAAACGTTTTGTTCGGGCGTGTAGACCAAGTGTAAAATGTATGATTTAGTTTTAATATCATAAATATTACTATTATAGTAGTACTGCTATAGTTTTGAAAGGTTTAAAGGGAGCACTGTTGAAGGTTGAGTTTACAAATTTTAAGGCATGTTGAGTTTTTTTTTTCAGATTCTAAATAGTAACTATTCTTAGTCTATTGCTTAACATATCTAAGATCTCTTAATATTAATACATATTCTTATAGCTAAATATTATCTCTATTCACATTCGAAATTCGGGAATTCTGGGATTTGTTAAGTTGGTTATGCAGTTTATTTATTGAGAACAAAAATCATGATTGCGGAAGTATGATTACACTTTGAGTTTATTACTGTTATAGTCTTACACTCTTTCTCTTCTATTTATATTTCACTACACTTTCGAAATCAGGGAATATTCGCGATTATTGTTTTTAGTTTATTTATTGAGAATAAAAATCCTGATTGCCGGATTAAGATTATATAAGTATATACCGATTCTTAAATTATAAAGTTATAAACTACTTATCTGTTACATTTAAAAGTATCTTACAATTCTTACGATTATATTATTTTAAATTTTTTATTGTCTTTGGTCTATTTTGTGAGGAAAGGTGGATCCACTAATCAGAATATTTCAAGCTTTTTCTAATCGAGAAGTGTTTGAAAGAATAGTTCGTTATTAGCGTAATTGGGACGAGTCCATTTTGGATAGTTCAACGATCTGTCACAGAAAATAGAACTACTCCAGGGATATATCCACCTCTTAAGTCTTAGAATATGAACCGGTGATTACTTCCACAGATTGGGACTAACGTTATGTTAGTTCCTTTACTCCAAAGAGTATTTTTTTATATTTCATTGTATTAGCTCTATATAGATAGATTCCCATAATAGGTTTACGAGGTCTTAAGATTATTTAGGAACTAAATAGGTTCTAAGTCACATTTCCGGTTTAGAAGACCTAGCTTATAGAAAGTATATTTGAACATTGAACTTATTAGTATTATTGGAATTTTTCTAACACTTCTAATCACTAGCACCTTTGTTTTTATTTTTTCACAATTATCTTCTGATTTCTATCATTTCTATAACAAATCTCAACCGAACACTAATGAAAACATATTTTATTTTTAAAATCCCTTAAAAACCTACCACTACTACAGATCATGATCAGTCAACAGTCACAACAACAACAACATCAGCAACCACAACATCAAATATTACAACTTAGTGCTTACAATCAACATTTACAACCTCTGGAATCTATGAGCACCGGAGGTCCAGGAAATTGTCAGAATTCTACTATAACAACGGCAGCCTCTGCAAGTTCATCACCTTCCTGTACATCACCCATTAATCAGACCCAACAATTACCAGCTATAAGTAGTGTTATAAATGGTTTAAATGGAGGTTCACTGCACCACAACGGTTCCCCGGGTATCGGGGGTGTTACCGTTACTACGGCGCCCTATCATCAACTAGCCATAATAGCTTCTCCAATTGTTATAACGTCTGCCTCTTTGGATGGTTGTGCAGGAGATATGGCTACACAAAGTGTGGCCCTACAACAATTGGGTGGTGCTGGAAGAGTTACTTCCTCTCTGGGTAATTTGTCAGCAGGTAGTAGCGGTCTAGGTGTGTCTGGATTAGGAGCTAGTGTTGGAACTTCCTCCTTTAAGAGAGGCAGTGCTGTAATGCATCCTTCATCTCTAGCCTATGCCACTAATGCCTATGTTATAGGTGCTCCTGGTAGCACGACCTCGTGTGCCTCGACTTTAAGTGGTTTAGAACAAACTATCGATGGCAGTCCTTTATTATCGTTTTCGGAAGTTACCAATACTCTATTGAATCAGTAGATGTTCCAGAAAACAAAGTAAAAAATGAGCATAAGATAAGTGAGTTATGAGGGGTGAGAAACAGAGATGTTTACTCCTCTATAGTTAAATTCTATATACATATATCAAGTCAAAAAAGTATTAAATAATATTAACAGTATCAAAAATTTTTGTTAACAATTTTCAAATATTATTTCAAAGAAATGTTTTATAACGATCTAGAGTTTTAGTCTCTCGATGTAGCTTGCAGCTTGTCTTAAGGCAAGCCGTGATGTCTGGACTTAAGATCTAAATCTTAATAAGAGCATAAAATCAAGTTAAATTAGTGCATTAGATCTTTTACTTAAAGACAGCTAACAAGATTATTAACAAGATCATTAAATACAAAAGAGAGTAGAGCCTAGTAAACATTTTACGGCGTTCGATATCGATTTTTTGGACTTTAAAAGAGATCTCGAATTCCGTAAGTCCTAAACTTTCAAGATAGAAAAGAGCTAAAAGATCATAAAAGCCACAATTACATATAAATCTCTCAAAAGAGTAATTTTGTTAAAAAAAACTTTAAAATTTTAAAGAAAAAAAAAAATTACATAAAAATACAAATTTTTTTTAAATTTCATTTAAACTCAATATTTAAAAAATAAATCTCCATAACAGAATAAAAAAAAACATTCCATAAATTGTATTAATACAGAAAAACCATGTAAAAAATATTAACAAAATATTTATATATATAATTATATTTTTTGCCAAATAATAAATAGACTATCGTATCTTCCAATAAACTTATCAGCACTTAAAATAAGTACTTTTTTCATCAAAAAACACTTTCAGTTACACGATTGGAAAAGATTTTTTTAAGAAAATGATAATGAATTTTTAAATGATGTAATTAATTGAATGGGAATTTTCAATTGAAAAACTTTTTATAAGGATTTAAAACGAAAAGAGGAAAGTTTAAGAAGAAAACTTGAATTCATGAAAGTATTGAGAAGTTAGATTCATTTAAAAATATTAATATCAGCAATCGGAAGTTAAAGAATTTGAATCTAAATAAAACTTTTTATTAATAATTTTCAATAAATTTTTGACAATTTTCATTACATGAAAAAATTAAATTTATTAACATTTTCTGTTAAAAAATTAATTTTTCAGAAAAAACTGTTTTTTTGTTTGTTAAAACTCAATATTCATTAAAATTATGAATTTTTAAAATATACATCAGCAAAACTTCAAAATTTCTTTTAAAATTCCAAAATTTAATAAAAACTCATAATATCATTCATAATTCAAAATTTCATCAAAAATTCGAAATTTCATTAAAGATTTAAGATTCCACAGAAAATTCGAAATTTCATTAAAAATTTAAAATTTCATTTAAAAGTTATAATTTCGTACAAAATACGAAATTATTTTTTCAGAAATACTATTTTTTTTTTATAAAAATTTAATATTCATTAAAATTATGAATTTTTAAAACCTACATCAATAAAACTTCAAAATTTCATTAAAAAATCCAAAATTTAATAAAAACTCATTTTATTCAGTTTCATTCATAATTCAAAATTTCATAAAAAATTCGAAATTTCATTAAAGATTTAAGATTTCATAGAAAATTCGAAAATTCATTAAAAATTTGAAATTAAAAATTTCATTAAAGATTTAAGATTTCATAGAAAATTCGAAATTTCATTAAAAATTTGAAATTTCTTTTAAAAGTTATAATTTCATACAAAATACGAAGAATTAAATCACTTTATTAAAATTTTCTGTAAAAAATCAAATTTTCAAAAAAACTTGTTTTTTTTTTTGGAAAAACTCAATATTCATTAAAATTATGAATTATTAAAATATACATCAGCAAAACTTCAAAATTTCATTAAAAATTCCAAAATTTAATAAAAACTCATAATTCAAAATTTCATTAAAAATTCCAAAATTCATTAAAGATTTAAGATTTCATCAAAAATTCGAAATTTCATTAAAAATTTATAAAAAAAATTCGAAATTTTATTTTAAAGTTATAATTTCATATAAAATACGATATTACATAAAAAAATTCAAAATTTCATTCAAATTTCATAATTTCATTAATAATTTTATTAAAATAATTTTTTTTTATTAAAATTTTTCATCAAAAATATTAAATTTCATTAAAAAAAATCATTTTTTTTTTCAAAATTTATAATTTTACTAAACAATTTTAATTTCATTAAAAATTAATAATTTCGTTAAAAATTCGAAATTTTATTAAAAATTAATATAAATTCAAAAAATTGACAAAAATCATTATTTCATTCATAATACAAAATTTAATTAATTCATTAAAGATTCAAGATTTCATCAAAAATTCGAAATTTCATTAAAAATTCAATATTAATAAAAAATTCGAAATTTTATTAAAAATTTAAAATTTCATCAAAAATTAGAATTTTCATTAAACATTTAAAATTTTATCAAAAACTCAAAATTTTTTTAAAAATTCGTAATTTTTTTCGTAATATTTAATGAAAATTCAAATATTTAATAAAAATTCATAAATTTTACAAAAATCATAATTTCATTCTTAATTCAAAATTTCATTAATTCAAAAAATTCGAAATTTCACAAAAAATCCATAATTTAAAAAAAAATTGAAAATTTCATAAAAACCAGTAAAAAAATAAAATTTGATTAAAAATTAGAAATTTCATCAAAAATTAAAAATTTCATTAAACATTTGAAATTTTATCAAAAACTCAAAATTTTTCAAAAATTCGTAATTTTACCAAAATTTCAAAAAATTAATTTCCCAAAAAAATCTCGATTTTATTAAAAATGTAAATATCAGTGAACTTTTGTATACAAAATTTAACGGTTTCAAAATTTAAAACTTTTAGATAAAGTTTGACCCTTGACCTTTCAAATTTGAGAGATTGCAATTTCCCCAAAAAAAATTTAAATTTGTATGAAAATCAATATTTTTTTAATTGAACTATGACCTTTGTAACAAATTTATTGATTTTTTCTTAGAAACCTTATATTTCTAATTAAAATTTAAAATAATTTTTAGACTTTAACTTTTGCAAATATTTAAAGGATGAACTATTGACCTCTAGTAATAAAATTTTATTTAATAATTTAAAAATATTTAAAAGTTTGAACTTTGACCCCAAATTTGTATGATTGTTAAAATTGTTTAATTCTTTCAAAAACTATAATACCACTTACCTTAAAACTTTTAAATGTTTCTTAGAGGATCCAGAAAATTAAGGATCTGAAAAAAATAAAAATAGTAACGCATTAGATCATATTTGTAAAAATATATTTTTCTATAAAAATCTTCTACAATTTATAAAAATTTCTAAGGTTATAAATAATATTTATCTTATTGAAAGGAATAATATGTAAAAATTATAAAACCCTAAAAAGTTTCCTTCACATCATTTCAAAATTCATTATCTATTAACATTTAACAAAATCAAAATTTATATAAAATATATTTTTCCAAAAAACAACCACCTCAAATATACATATATTTGAAAAAATAAACCCTAAGAGTTTCAGCAAATTAAATACAAATGATCTTTTATAAAACTGTATATAAATATACCAATAACAAATATTTAAATAATCAATAAACAAATATTTCCATAAATTTAAAGAAAAAGTTAAACTACAATATATTTTAATTTTATTTTCTGTGATAAAAAACATAACAAAATAATAATATTATTAAAAAGAAATAACTAAAACATTATTTTTTTTATTTTTTTCAAAAAGAAAAACATTTTTAAGCTCAAAAACCACAATTTAGATTAAAACTAAAAATTAAAATTGAAATTAAAAGAAAAATACAGGCACAATGAAAAAAACTAACAGTTTATTAAAAAAAACAATAATAAATCATTTAAAAACTTAAAGAATATAAATAAAATATAAAAAAAAAAAATCACAAAAGTTAAAACGGACTGCGATTTAAGTTGATTACCAACCAAATAAATTCATTTTGAAACCAGACAATGTATTTTTTAGTGGCTGTTCAGTAATTTTATTATGGCAACCGAATGTTTTAAGGTTTTTGAGTAAATTATTTTAAAATACGAGAACTAACAAGATTGTTTACAGCAACTAAAAACAACATCATACATACAATTATCTAAATTTGCTTTGTTCGGTTCTGGCTCAGTTCTAGTTCAGTTCTAGTTCAGTTCTAGTTCAGTTCTAATTCAGTTCTAGTTCAGTTCTAGTTCAGTTCTAGTTCAGTTCTAGTTTAGTTCTAGTTTAGTTCTAGTTCAGTTCTGGTTTAGTTCTAGTTCAGTTCTAGTTCAGTTCTAGTTCAGTTCTAGTTCAGTTCTAGTTCAGTTCTAGTTCAGTTCTAGTTCAGTTCTAGTTCAGTTCTAGTTCAGTTCTAGTTCAGTTCTAGTTCAATTTCTAGTTCAGTTCTAGTTCAGTTCAGTTCTAGTTCAGTTCAGTTCTAGTCAGTTCTAGTTCGTTCTAGTTCAGTTCTAGTTCAGTTCTAGTTCAGTTCTAGTTCAGTTCTAGTTCAGTTCTAGTTCAGTTCTAGTTCAGTCTAGTTCAGTTCTAGTTCAGTTCTAGTTCAGTTCTAGTTCAGTTCTAGTTCAGTTCTAGTTCAGTTCTAGTTCAGTTCTAGTTCAGTTCTAGTTCAGTTCTAGTTCAGTTCTAGTTCAGTTCTAGTTCAGTTCTAGTTCAGTTCTAGTTCAGTTCTAGTTCAGTTCTAGTTCAGTTCTAGTTCAGTTTTAGTTCAGTTCAGTTCTAGTTCAGTTCTAGTTCAGTTCTAGTTCAGTTCTAGTTCAGTTCTAGTTCAGTTCTAGTTCAGTTCTAGTTCTAGTTCAGTTCTAGTTGTAGTTCAGTTCAAGTTCAGTTCTAGTTCAGTTGTAGTTCAGTTGTAGTTCAGTTCTAGTTCAGTTCTAGTTCAGTTCTAGTTCAAATTTAGTTCAGTTCTAGTTCAATTTTAGTTCAGTTGTAGTTAAGTTATATTTTGAAATTTATAAGAAATTTTAATTGTGTTTACATGCCTTTTGTCGTATCAAGCATATATTTTGATTGTTGCAACAATATTCATAGGAAATTTGATAATTTGACTAAGATTCAGTCTTTTTTACACAAATTAAAGGAAAAACTAATAATTTAAAGATTTAGTTTATTTTATAAAAACAATTTTGTTAGTGTTACCAAGTTTCTGTTAAAGCAACTAAAAAGTCATTAATTTATTTGAGTTTTTTTTTTAATTTGAAATCAAAAGCATTTTCTTACTAAAAATTAAATTAATTTCTAACTGTAAAGTTCGTTTTAACTTTAATTAAAATATAACTAACAACCAAAGATTTAAACATAAAACAAAATAATTTGCAGAAAATGTAAAAAAACAATTGTAAATTAAAAACAAAAAAACTAAAGGTTGTTGCTCCAAATTGAAGTAATTATTATTAATAACAAAGCAATTTTTATTAATTTATGAAAATTAATATAATAAATACTTTATTTCATACTAAATGAAAAACTAAACTTTAATTAACAATTATAAAATTATTAAAAAAAGAAGTTTCCTATTATTATTATTAATAAAAACAATTTATAATTAATTTTAAAATAAAAATCCTTTAGCCTGTAATTTAGCCAATCAATATTGTAAAAATTTTATTAAAAACTAAAACATTTAACATAATAAACTATTTTAAACTAAAAAAATAAACCATCTAGTCGTATATTACTATAAACAAAAACCTATAAATATTAATTAAAATAAAAAATTAAACTAAAATTAATATTATTTAAATAAGTAAGATTTCCTATTGTATATTTTAAATTTAATATTATAATAAAGATTTAACAATAAAACGCAATAAAAAATGTAAATTATTTGGCCACAATTTCAAAGTTTTCTTATTACAAAATACGACAAAAGCAAATCCAGAGAATTCTTTAGTAAATTAAGATCTTTTTAAAACAATTTAAGGAAAATAATAAAAATTAATATCTTGTCTAAATAGTGAGTTATAAAATTAAAACTGGTATTAAAAAATTAAAAAAAAAAACAATGTAAAATAACAATCAATTCATAATAAATTAATTAAAAAATAAAAATTATTTAAAAATACCTAAATATGATGTTTTATTTAATTTCCAAGAAAAGTATTTTTTTAAAATAGAGAGTACAATGAAATGCCCTTTTAAGGGATCCTTTAGAACCTAGTTCTTGTTCTAGTTCAGTTCTAGTTCAGTTCTAGTTCAGTTCTAGTTCAGTTCTAGTTCAGTTCTAGTTCAGTTCTAGTTCAGTACTAGTTCAGTACTAGTTCAGTTCTAGTTCAGTTCAGTTCTAGTTCTAGTTCAGTTCTAATTCAGTTCTAGTTCAGTTCTAGTTCAATTCTAGTTCAGTTCTAGTTCAGTTCTAGTTCAGTTCTAGTTCAGTTCTAGTTCAGTTCTAGTTCAGTTCTAGTTCAGTTCTAGTTCAGTTCTAGTTCAGTTCTAGTTCAGTTCTAGTTCAGTTCTAGTTCATTTCTAGTTCAGTTCTAATTCAGTTCTAGTTCAGTTCTAGTTCAGTTCTAGTTCAGTTCTAGTTCAGTTCTAGTTCAGTTCTAGTTCAGTTCTAGTTCAATTCTAGTTCAATTCTAGTTCAGTTCTAGTTCAGTTCTAGTTCAGTTCTATTTCAGTTCTAGTTCAGTTCTAGTTCAGTTCTAGTTCAGTTCTAGTTCAGTTCTAGTTCAGTTCTAGTTCAGTTCTAGTTCAGTTCTAGTTCAGTTCTAGTTCAGTTCTAGTTCAGTTCTAGTTCAGTTCTAGTTCAGTTCTAGTTCAGTCTAGTTCAGTTCTAGTTCAGTTCTAGTTCAGTTCTAGTTCAGTTCTAGTTCAGTTCTAGTTCAGTTCTAGTTCAGTTCTAGTTCAGTTCTAGTTCATTTCTATTCAGTTCTAGTTCAGTTCTAGTTCATTTCTATTCAGTTCTAGTTCACTTCTGTTCTGTTATCAATTTATATAAAAGGAAGTATTTAGAAAAAACGTGTCATATGGTTAAGAAGTTAATCTGAAAAACGTCAATAAACTTTTGTTTTCACTAAAAAAAAACTTATTTGCATATTTCGTGTCTTTAAAATATCATTAATGTTATTACAAACTATATTTAGTTTGTAATAACAATTTAAAAAAAAAAACGATTATTTGATCTAACAATTAGTACAAAACAAATTTTTATCAACTGTGACTATATTTAGATAGAGAGATCAATTGATCAAACGAAACGAATGTATTAACGATAATACAATTATCAATTTATTAGCACAAAAATTTTAAATTCAAATTTAAATAAAATCGAGCAATAATAAATAAATAAACAAAAATCGTGTGAAATATTGCGCTAAGATTTGGTCTAAATAGAGACATTGAAAACAGTTGCGAATCGTAGTTATTCGTGAAAAGAAAGACGGAATGTTTGGAATAGTAAAAAGTTGCTAAAAAAATGAGTTCATTTAAAAATCAAGAAGATATAGTACAAACTGTCAATGGAAATTTTGGCAAATGGCAATTACGCTCAATAGTTTTGATATTTTTGTGTAAAATTCCCACGGCCTGGTTTACAATTTGTGTTATTTATACGGCTCCTACTCCACAAAAAGGGGATTATTATTGTAAACCTACGGAAAGTTTGCAGCATAATATTACTTCTAATTTATTGGAAAATTATATGTCTTATAATTTACAAAAGGATATACAAAGTACCGATCGTCAGTTTCAAGTGGATGCTTGTCACACCTTCAAAACCAGTTTGGAAACAAATTTTGCACATAAAAATATAAGGAATTATTCTAATCCATTTGCTAAGCCCCAACAGCAGAACACTCATCAGGTGAATGTTCATCTAGTGCCCTGCGATCACTTTGAACACAATTCAGAATATGAATCTCTGGTGACACAATTCGATTTGGTTTGCTCGCGAGAATTGCTGGTGTCAATGACCCAATCGTTTCATGCTTTAGGGGCCTTAATTGGTGGTTTGGTGGCGAAAAAAGCTTTGAATCAGTAAGTTAGAGAAACTTAAGGAACATCGTGGGAAAAATACTAATATTTCTTTTATTACAGCATTAGTCCACGCAGGCTGATGTTGTATGGCATGTTGGGGCAGATTATGTGCGGAAATCTGACGGGTTTAGTGACCTCATTTGCTTTACATGTCTACTATCGCTGTTTGACTTCCATGTTTTGTGCTTTTATGTATACATCGGGACAAGTTATATGTAAGTTTGTGGATCAATTTCAAATTTATAT